TCTGTGGGTCTCTGTGTGGTGAGTCTGTGGGTCTCTGTGTGGTGAGTCTGTGATGAGTCTGTGGGTCTCTGTGTGGTGAGTCTGTGGGTCTCTGTGTGATGAGTCTGTGGGTCTCTGTGTGATGAGTCTATGGGTCTCTGTGTGATGAGTCTGTGGGTCTCTGAGTCTGTGGGTCTCTGTGTGTGTGTGTCTGTGGGTCTCTGTGTGGTGAGTCTGTGGTGAGTCTGTGGGTCTCTGTGTGGTGAGTCTGTGGGTCTCTGTGTGATGAGTCTATGGGTCTCTGTGTGATGAGTCTATGGGTCTCTTTGTGATGAGTCTATGGGTCTCTGTGTGATGAGTCTATGGGTCTCTGTGTGATGAGTCTATGGGTCTCTGTGTGATGAGTCTGTGGGTCTCTGTGTGAGTCTCTGTGTGAGTCTCTGTGTGAGTCTGTGGGTCTCTGTGTGAGTCTCTGTGTGAGTCTCTGTGTGATGAGTCTGTGGGTCTCTGTGTGAGTCTCTGTGTGAGTCTCTGTGTGATGAGTCTGTGGGTCTCTGTGTGTGTCTGTGGGTCTCTGTGTGTGTCTGTGTGTGTTACTGTGACTCAGCATCTCTGACTGACACGGCCACTTTGAACCCCCTCTGGGAGAGAGAGGCAAGGTGGAGGGAGAGAGGCAGCAGCGACCTCATTCTGCTCGCAGTCACTCTGTGTGTGTGTGTCTGTGTGTGTGTACTGTGTGTGTCTGTGTGTGTGTGTGTGTCTGTGTGTGTCTGTGTGTGTGTGTGTCTGTGTGTGTGTCTGTGTGTGTGTGTCTGTGTGTGTGTGTCTTTGTGTGAGTGTCTGTGTGTGTGTGTGTCTGTGTGTGAGTGTCTGTGTGTGTGTGTCTGTGTGTGTGTGTCTGTGTGTGTGTGTCTGTGTGTGTGTGTCTGTGTGTGTGTCTGTGTGTCTGTGTGTGTGTGTGTCTGTGTGTTTGTGTTTGTGTGGGGAGCGATAGTGTAGCGGTTAGCGCTACGCTGCGCTATGAACCCGGCGACCCGGGTTCTATTCCCGCTCACGGCCAACACCAGTGACGATTGTCTGAACCGGTCCCGGGCCTCCCCTAGGTCGACTCAGCCTCAAATGAGTACCTGGGTGCGGTGTGTAAACATTGCCACTAGGGAGACAAAGGCGGTCGGGCGTGGTGCTGGCCACTCACCCCCTCGTGTACCGTTCCGGCCTTCATAGGTGCTCGCTAACAGCACTTGCCCCTACAGTCTGTTAGAGGCTACACGGGGGACATTTGTCTGTGTATAGGTGCTGCTGCTACTCGCTAACAGCACTTGCCCCTACAGCCTGTTAGAGGCTACACGGGGGATCTTTGTCTGTGTATAGGTGCTGCTGCTACTCGCTACTCACAGCACTTGCCCCTGCAGCCTGTCAGAGGCTACACGGGGGACCTTTGCCTTTTGCGTGAGCGGTGGTGTGGCGGGCAGCTTCGCCTCTGTTGCCCTGGGGAGACAAAGGCGGCCGGCCACGACATCACGTGGGCAGCAGAGGGCTTGGTTCGTCTGACTGCCCTTGCCCCAGCTGCTGCCGCTGCTTTGGCCGTCGGCTACCTGGGGGAGCTTTGGCTGCGTTGTGGTCGCGTCTCCGGAGGAGGAGGGGGGAGGGGGGGGAGGGGGGAGGGGTTTGGGTCCTCCGCGTGAGCCCCTCGTTTTGTTGCCATGGAGACGGAGCAATCGCTTTGGTCGTGGTGATTATGGGGGTGGTGATGATGATGATGGTGATAGTGGTGGTGGTGGTGATAGTGGTGGTAGTGGTGGTAGTGGTGGTGGTGGTGATAGTGGTGGTAGTGGTGGGGGTGATGGTGGTGGTGGTGGTGGCGATGCTGATGATCATGATGGTGGTGGTGATGATGGTGATGATGATGGTGATGATGGTGGTGATGGTGGTGATGATGGTGGTGGTGATAGTGGTGGTAGTGATGGGGGTGATGGGAGTGGTGGTGATAGTGGTTGTAGTGATGGGGGTGATGGTGGTGGTGGTGATGATGGTGGTGATGATGATGGTGGTTGTGATGGTGATGGTGGTGGTGATGATGGCGATGATGGTGATGGTGGTGGTGATGGCGATGATGGTGATGATGGTGGTGGTGATGATGGTGATGATGATGGTGATGATGGTGGTGATGGTGGTGATGATGATGATGTTGATGATGATGGTAATGATGATGATGATGGTGGTGGTGATGATGGTGGTGGTGGTGATGATGATGATGGTGATGATGATGATGGTGGTGATGGTGGTGATGGTGATGATGGTGGTGATGATGGCGATGATGGTGATGATGATGGTGATGATAGTGATGATGGTGATGATGGTGGTGGTGATGATAGTGATGATGGTGATGATGGTGATGATGGTGATGATGGTGGTTGTGATGATGATGGTGATGATGCTTATGATGATGATGGTGGTGGTGATGATAGTGATGATGGTGATGATGGTGGTGATGATAGTGATGATGGTGATGATGGTGATGATGGTGGTTGTGATGATGATGGTGATGATGCTTATGATGATGATGGTGGTGATGATAGTGATGATGGTGATGATGGTGGTGGTGATGATAGTGATGATGGTGATGATGGTGGTGGTGATGATAGTGATGATGCTTGTGATGATGATGCTTGTGCGTTCCAGTCACAAGGGCATGATGGGTGACACAGCCAATGAAACACTCACACAGACAAAGCTCCCCCGTGTAGCCTTCACAGACTGTAGGGGCAAGTGCTGTTAGCGAGCAGCACCTATGAAGGGGGGGTGGGTGGCCAGCACCACGCCCGGCCGCCTTTGTCTCCCCAGTGCTAGCGATGTTTATTACACACCGCACCAGGTACTCATTTGAGGCTGAGTCGACCTAGGGGAGGCCCAGGACCGGTTCAGATAATCGTCATTGGTGTTGGCCGTGAGCGGGAATCGAACCCAGGTCGCCAGGTTCTTAGCGCAGCGTAGCGCTAACCGCTACACTACCACACACACACACAGTGACACACTCACACACACAGACACACACACAGTGACACACACGCACAGACACACACACAGACACACACACACTCACACACACAGACACAGACACACACAGACACACACAGACTCGCACACACACACACTCACAGACACTCGCTCACACACGCACACACACACTCACAGACACAGTGACACACACAGACACACACACACAGACACACACACAGACACACACAGACACACACACACAGACACAGTGACACACACAGACACCCTCACACAAAACAAAGATAACAGATAACAATATAATAGGGGAGGCCCGGGACCGGTTCAGATAATCGTCACTGGTGTTGGCCGTGAGCGGGAATCGAACCCGGGTCGCCAGGTTCATAGCACACACAGACACACACACACAGACGCACACAGACAGACAGACACACAGACAGACACACACAGACACACACACACAGACACACACACACAGAAAAACACACAGACACAGTGACACACACAGACACACTCAAACACACAGACACACACACACAGACACACACAGACACAGTGACACACACAGACACACTCACACACTCGCTCACACACTCAGACACACTCACACACACAGACACACTCACACACACACAGACACTCACAGACACACACACAGACGCACTCACACACTCACAGACACACACACTCACACACACAGACACACACACACACGCTCACACACACAGACACACTCACACACAGACACACACACACTCTGTGACCCCCGTGTCTCCCCGTGTCTCCCCGTGTCCCCCCGTGTCCCCCCGTGTCTCCTCCACGTTCCAGGAACACTTCACGGCCGAGTGTAAGTTCAAGAAGTCGGTCTTTGAGAACTACTACGTCATCTACTCGTCTCTCCGTGTCTCTCTCCCTGCGTCTCCCCGTGTCTCCCCGTGTCTCCCCCGTGTCTCCCCGTGTCTCCCCCTGTCCCCCGTGTCTCCTCCACGTTCCAGGAACACTTCACGGCCGAGTGCAAGTTCAAGGAGTCGGTCTTTGAGAACTACTACGTCATCTACTCGTCTCTCCGTGTCTCTCTCCCTGCGTCTCCCCGTGTCTCCCCGTGTCTCCCCGTGTCTCCCCACGTCCCCCCGTGTCTCCCCACGTCCCCCCGTGTCTCCTCCACGTTCCAGGAACACTTCACGGCCGAGTGCAAGTTCAAGGAGTCTATCTTTGAGAACTACTACGTCATCTACTCGTCTCTCCGTGTCTCTCTCCCCGTGTCTCCCCGTGTCTCCCCGTGTCTCCCCGTGTCTCCCCACGTCCCCCCGTGTCTCCCCGCGTCTCCCCGTGTCTCCCCGTGTCTCCCCGTGTCTCCCCGTGTCTCCCCCGTGTCCCCCCGTGTCTCCTCCACGTCCCAGGAACACTTCACGGCCGAGTGTAAGTTCAAGGAGTCGGTCTTTGAGAACTACTACGTCATCTACTCGTCTCTCCCTGTCTCTCTCCCCGTGTCTCCCCGTGTCTCCCCGTGTCTCCCCACGTCTCCCCGTGTCTCCCCGTGTCTCCCCGTGTCTCCCCGTGTCTCCTCCACGTTCCAGGAACACTTCACGGCCGAGTGCAAGTTCAAGGAGTCGGTCTTTGAGAACTACTACGTCATCTACTCGTCTCTCCCTGTCTCTCTCCCCGTGTCCCCCCGTGTCTCCCCGTGTCTCCCCACGTCTCCCCGTGTCTCCCCGTGTCTCCCCGTGTCTCCCCCGCGTCCCCCCGCGTCTCCTCCACGTTCCAGGAACACTTCACGGCCGAGTGTAAGTTCAAGGAGTCGGTCTTTGAGAACTACTACGTCATCTACTCGTCTCTCCGTGTCTCTCTCCCTGCGTCTCCCCGCGTCTCCCCGTGTCTCCCCGTGTCTCCCCGTGTCTCCCCACGTCCCCCCGTGTCTCCCCGTGTCCCCCCGTGTCTCCCCGTGTCTCCCCGCGTCTCCCCGTGTCTCCCCCGTGTCCCCCCGTGTCTCCTCCACGTCCCAGGAACACTTCACGGCCGAGTGTAAGTTCAAGGAGTCGGTCTTTGAGAACTACTACGTCATCTACTCGTCGACGCTGTACCGGCAACACGAATCGGGCCGGGCCTGGTACCTGGGCCTCAACAAGGAGGGCGGCACCCTCAAGGGCAACCGCGTGAAGAAGACGAAAGCCGGGGCTCACTTCCTGCCCAACCCCCTCGAAGGTGAGGCCACGGGGTGGGGGTGGGGGCGGTGGGGGTGGTGGTGGGGGTGGTGGTGGGGGTGGTGGTGGAGGTGGTGGTGGAGGTCGTGGTGGTGCTAGCGGTAGTGATGGTTGTGACTGGTCCATTTTAACAGCAGAGGTCTCATTCTCAATCAGTCGAGCGGCAATATCTTTTCATCGGTTGCGTAACGCTGTGTGGAAGCTACCTGGTCTGTCGCTCCGCACTAAGCTTCAGGTCTTCTAGGCCACGGTCATTCCCTCCCCTCTCTACGCTTGCAAAACGTGGACCCCCCTAATGCAGCATCTTCGCCGGTTAGAAACATTTAGGCTGGCCTGCCTACGATCCATCCTGGGTTTAACCAGACTGGATTGTGTGAGGAGCTCACAAATCCTTGAAAGATCTTGCCAAGGTCCCATCGGTGAGCTCCTCCGGCGGGGAAGGCTGCGATGGCTGGGTCATGTAGCCCGCATGCCCAGCCACCGCATGCCGAAACAGCTTTTGTTCGGCCAGATCGAGGGGGCTAAACGGGCGCAGCACGGGCTAGAGAAGAGATGGAGTGATGTGGTACAGGAGGACGTGGAGCTGAGTGGACTTCCCGATGACCGGTACCAGCGGTGTCAAGATCGGCCTCTGTGGAGGAGGCTCGTGAAGGATGCTACTGGGCAGTTGGAGGCAGTCGCCCTCCAACAACAACGGAGGGCGGAGGAGCGACGCTCACAACAACGAGCCGAGCGCCGGGTGGCTAAAGCACAGCAGGTTGGCAAAGTAGGGGGCACAGGTGGTGCATCAGCCAGTCATCTCAGCCAGTCGACCCGTGGCACTTGGGTCTGCCCCGTGACCTCCTGCCAGCGGGCGTTCGACACTTCACGTGATGGCCTCAAAATTACCCAGCAGTGGTACTGCTGGGTAATTTTTTTTTGTTCACCTGAGGACGAACGATTGCGTCACGATGGAAACGTCGTGACACGTTTTTTTTTTTCTTGCTTTGCTTCATTTAATTTTTCTCCCCTCCGTGACGACTTCGCCGTAAAGAACCAGTGAAGAGTGTGTACGGATGGCCGCGGTTGCGAGAGCTTCAAATCAAGATTCCAATCCTCGAGTTGACGTCCGGCAAGGAGCCATCGCTGTCCGCCTCGGTCTCAACACGCTTCGAGATGGAGACAATCGGGCGGGCACGGTGTCCCGCCTTCACAGGCGCTGATGCTCGCTGGCAGCACTTTGCCCGCTAGCGTGCGTGGGCTCTACGGGGGGCCTTTGCCTTTGCGGTGGTGGTCGTGGTGGTGGTGGTTATGGTGGTTAAGATGAAGCAGGGACAGTCGGCAGATGATGCCAACCCATAACCTGTACTCTTCTCTGTCTCTCTTTCTTTCCCCGTGTCTCTCCCCGCGTCTCTCCCCGTGTCTCCCCGTGTCTCCCCTCACCCCCCGTGTCTCCCCGTGTCTCTCCGTGTCTCTGCACGTCTCTCCCCGTGTCTCTCCCTGTGTCTCTCCCCGTGTCTCTCCCCGTGTCTCTCCCCGCGTCTCCCCGTGTCTCTCCCCGTGTCTCTCCCCGTGTCTCTCCCCGTGTCTCTCCCCTTGTCTCTCCCCGTGTCTCTCCCCGTGTCTCTCCTTCTCTCCCCGCGTCTCTCCCCGTGTCTCCCCGTGTCTCCCCTCACCCCCGTGTCTCCCCGTGTCTCCCCGTGTCTCTCCGTGTCTCTGCACGTCTCTCCCCGTGTCATCTCCCCATGTCTCTCCCCGTGTCTCTCCCCGTGTCTCTCCCCGTGTCTCCCCGTGTCTCCCCGTGTCATCTCCCCGTGTCATCTCCCCGTGTCTCCCCGTGTCTCCCCGTGTCCTTTATCTGTCTCCCCGTGTCTCCACCATGTCATCTCCCCGTGTCATCTCCCCGTGTCTCCCCATGTCTCCCCGTGTCTCCCCATGTCTCCCCGTGTCCTTTATCTGTCTCCCCGTGTCTCCACCATGTCATCTCCCCGTGTCATCTCCCCGTGTCTCCCCATGTCTCCCCGTGTCTCCCCGTGTCTCCCCTCACCCCCCGTGTCTCCCCGTGTCTCTGCACGTGTCTCCCCGTGTCTCTCCCCGTGTCTCCCCGTGTCTCCCCGTGTCTCTCCCCGTGTCTCCCCGTGTCTCCCCGTGTCTCTCCCCATGTCTCCCCGTGTCTCCCCATGTCTCCCCGTGTCTCCCCGTGTCTCCCCGTGTCTCTCCCCGTGTCTCTCCCCGTGTCTCCCCTCACCCCCCACAGTTGCCATGTACAAGGAGCCGTCCCTGCACGACCTCGCCGAGGTTCTCATCCAAGGGGCCGAAGCCTCCAACGCCCCCTCCCCGTCACCCTCCACCGTCATGAACGGCGGCAAGGCCATGACCAAAACCGACTCCACGTAGGCCCCGTTGGCCTGCTGGCCTGCCGGCCTGCCGGTCAGCTAGCCTGCTGGCTCGCTGGCCTGCTGGCCTGCCGGTCAGCTAGCCTGCTAGCCTGCCGGCCTACCGGCCTGCCGGCCTGCTGGCCTGCTGGCCTGCTGGCCCGCTGGCCTGCTGGCCCGCCGGTCAGGTGGCCTGCCGGCCTGCTGGCCCGCTGGCCTGCTGGCCCGCCGGTCAGGTGGCCTGCTGGCCCGCTGGCCTGCTAGCCTGCCGGCCTGCCGGTCAGGTGGCCTGCTGGCCTGCTGGCCTGCTAGCCTGCCGGCCTGCCGGCCTGCCAGCCTGCTGGCCTGCCGGCCTGCCAGCCTGCTAGCCTGCCGGCCTGCCGGCCTGCTAGCCTGCCGGCCTGCCGGTCAGGTGGCCTGCTGGCCTGCCGGCCTGCTGATCCGCTGGCCCGCCGGTCAGGTGGCCTGCTGGCCTGCTGGCCCGCTCGGGCGATCAGCCGCTTGTTCATCCCGGTCTCATGGATGGCTAATTGTCCTCCATCGCACCGTCATCATTGTCGCACCATCATCATCATCATCTGCCGCTTTCTCTCTCATCATCATCATCATCTAACGCTTTCTCCATCATCATCATCGTCATCATCTAACGCTTTCTCCATCGTCATCATCGTCATCATCTAACGCTTTCTCCATCGTCATCATCGTCATCATCTAACGCTTTCTCCATCATCGTCATCATCTAACGCTTTCTCCATCATCATCATCGTCATCATCTAACGCTTTCTCCATCATCGTCATCATCTAACGCTTTCTCCATCATCATCATCATCTAACGCTTTCTCCATCATCATCATCGTCATCATCTCACCACCACCACCAAACGCATGTGGGGCCCATGCCCTCCCCCTGCTCCTCTCCTCCTCCGTCGTCGTCTTTTTCTTCATCGTCATCATCACTGGCCGCCGACACCACCACGCCGAGGGGTGGACGAGGATGGAGGAAGCGGAGGAGGAGGATGAGGAGGATGAGGAGGAGGAGGTGGAGGAGGATGATGAGGATGAGGATGAGGAGGATGAGGTGGAGGAGGTGGAGGAGGATGAGGAGGATGAGGATGATGAGGAGGAGGAGGATGAGGAGGATGAGGAGGATGAGGAGGAGGAGGATGAGGAGGATGAGGAGGAGGATGAGGAGGATGAGGAGGAGGATGAGGAGGAGGATGAGGAGGATGAGGAGGAGGATGAGGAGGATGAGGATGAGGAGGATGAGGAGGAGGATGAGGAGGAGGATGAGGATGAGGACGAGGATGAGGAGGATGAGGATGAGGAGGCTGAGGAGGAGGATGAGGAGGAGGATGAGGATGAGGAGGATAAGGAGGAGGATGAGGAGGATAAGGAGGAGGATGAGGAGGATGAGGAGGATAAGGAGGAGGAGGGACAGACGACGATGAGCCGAGGTGGGCCAGGAGCTCGTTGAGGCTTGGCGGTCGATGGCAACCACAACCACAACCACCACCACAACCACAACCACCACCACAACCACAACCACCATGCTTCCTGACGATGGCGGAAGGTGGAGCAGCGGTCCACCCACCCACCCCTCCACCCACCCCTTTCACCCACCCACCCACCAACCCCTCCACCCACCCCTTTCACCCACCCACCAACCCCTCCACCCACCCCTTTCACCCACCCACCAACCCCTCCACCCACCCCTTTCACCCACCCACCCCTCCACCCACCCCTTTCACCCACCCACCCCTCCTCCCACCCACCCACCCACCCCTCCACCCACCCCTTTCACCCACCCACCAACCCCTCCACCCACCCCTTTCACCCACCCACCCACCAACCCCTCCACCCACCCCTTTCACCCACCCACCCCACCCACCCACCCCTTTCACCCACCCCTTTCACCCACCCACCCACCCCTCCACCCACCAAGCGACCCAGCGGCTCCGTCAAGCGGCCGAGAGGGGTGGGGTGGGAGGTTTTGTTTGACCCCGCTGGGTGAGGCTGACCGTCACCTCGCCGGGGCCACTGATGGAGATTTGCTCCGTGGGCGTGCGTGCCTGGGCGAGCGTGGGCGAGCGTGGGCGAGCGTGGGCGAGTGTGGGCGAGCGTGGGCGGGCCTGAGCGAGCGTGGGCGTGCGTGGGTGAGTGTGGGCGAGTGTGGGCGTGCGTGGGCGAGTGTGGGCGAGCGTGGGTGAGTGTGGGCGTGCGTGGGCACCCGGTCACGTTCCGTCAGAATCGACATCCGCCGCTGCCGCCGCCGACTTCAAAAAGACAGAACGACCACCACAGATCCCGGGGGGGGGGGGGGGGGAGGAGGGAGGCATGGGGGCCAGGACTGGAACGTGACCAGCAGCAGCTCGGAGGGGAAACATCGGGCGGCCGGCCGGCCTGCCGGCAACGGGCGTCACGGACACACGGGAGGAGGAGGAGCAGGAGGAGGAGGAGGAGGATGAGCAGGAGGAGGTGGAGGAGGAGGAGGAGGAGGATGAGCAGGAGGAGGAGGAGGTGGAGGAGGAGGAGGAGGACGAGGTTACGAACCACGCGGAGTCGCGACCGGCACGCCCCCAATCCGACCTCGTGTAGCAAGCTGGCTGCGGCCCGGCGAGCCCCCGTGGTGGTGGTGGTGGTGGGGGGCCCTGGGGGGCCCTGGGGGCCCTCAACTCCGGCCCTCGACTCCGGCCCTCGACTCCGGCCCTCGACTCCGGCCCTCAACAACTCCGGCCCTCAACAACTCCGGCCCTCAACAACTCCGGCCCTCAACAACTCCGGCCCTGAACAACTCCGGCCCTCAACAACTCCGGCCCTCAACAACTCCGGCCCTCAACAACTCCGGCCCTCAACAACTCCGGCCCTCAACAACTCCGGCCCTCAACAACTCCGGCCCTCAACAACTCCGGCCCTCAACAACTCCGGCCCTCAACAACTCCGGCCCTCAACAACTCCGGCCCTCGCCTCCGGCCCTCGACTCCGGCCCTCGACTCCGGCCCTCGACTCCGGCCCTCAACAACTCCGGCCCTCAACAACTCCGGCCCTCAACAACTCCGGCCCTCGACTCCGGCCCTCGACTCCGGCCCTCAACAACTCCGGCCCTCAACAACTCCGGCCCTCAACAACTCCGGCCCTCAACAACTCCGGCCCTCGACTCCGGCCCTCGACTCCGGCCCTCAACAACTCCGGCCCTCGACTCCGGCCCTCAACAACTCCGGCCCTCAACAACTCCGGCCCTCAACAACTCCGGCCCTCAACAACTCCGGCCCTCAACAACTCCGGCCCTCGACTCCGGCCCTCGACTCCGGCCCTCAACAACTCCGGCCCTCGACTCCGGCCCTCAACAACTCCGGCCCTCAACAACTCCGGCCCTCAACAACTCCGGCCCTCAACAACTCCGGCCCTCAACAACTCCGGCCCTCAACAACTCCGGCCCTCAACAACTCCGGCCCTCAACAACTCCGGCCCTCAACAACTCCGGCCCTCAACAACTCCGGCCCTCGACTCCGGCCCTCGACTCCGGCCCTCGACTCCGGCCCTCAACAACTCCGGCCCTCAACAACTCCGGCCCTCAACAACTCCGGCCCTCGACTCCGGCCCTCGACTCCGGCCCTCAACAACTCCGGCCCTCAACAACTCCGGCCCTCAACAACTCCGGCCCTCAACAACTCCGGCCCTCGACTCCGGCCCACGACTCCGGCCCTCAACAACTCCGGCCCTCGACTCCGGCCCTCAACACCTCCGGCCCTCAACAACTCCGGCCCTCAACAACTCCGGCCCTCAACAACTCCGGCCCTCAACAACTCCGGCCCTCGACTCCGGCCCTCGACTCCGGCCCTCAACAACTCCGGCCCTCGACTCCGGCCCTCAACAACTCCGGCCCTCAACAACTCCGGCCCTCAACAACTCCGGCCCTCAACAACTCCAGCCCTCAACAACTCCGGCCCTCAACAACTCCGGCCCGCGACTCTGGCCCTCGACTCCGGCCCTCAACAACTCCGGCCCTCAACAACTCCGGCCCTCAACAACTCCGGCCCTCAACAACTCCGGCCCTCAACAACTCCGGCCCTCGACTCCGGCCCTCGACTCCGGCCCTCGACTCCGGCCCTCAACAACTCCGGCCCTCAACAACTCCGGCCCTCAACAACTCCGGCCCTCGACTCCGGCCCTCGACTCCGGCCCTCAACAACTCCGGCCCTCAACAACTCCGGCCCTCAACAACTCCGGCCCTCAACAACTCCGGCCCTCGACTCCGGCCCTCGACTCCGGCCCTCAACAACTCCGGCCCTCGACTCCGGCCCTCAACAACTCCGGCCCTCAACAACTCCGGCCCTCAACAACTCCGGCCCTCAACAACTCCGGCCCTCAACAACTCCGGCCCTCGACTCCGGCCCTCGACTCCGGCCCTCAACAACTCCGGCCCTCGACTCCGGCCCTCAACAACTCCGGCCCTCAACAACTCCGGCCCTCAACAACTCCGGCCCTCAACAACTCCAGCCCTCAACAACTCCGGCCCTCAACAACTCCGGCCCGCGACTCTGGCCCTCGACTCCGGCCCTCGACTCCGGCCCTCAACAACTCCGGCCGTGTTCACCGCAGACGTTGGGAGGAGCGGCCGGCGGCGGCGGTGGCGGCGGCGGCTGAAGCTGGCTCGAGTTCTTGGTGACGCTTTGGTGCAGCGGCTACGCCTTTGGTGGAGAGGTGGCTCGAGTTTTGGGGGAAGTTTTGGGGGAAGTTTTGGTGAGGCGGCTCGGGTTTGGTGACGTCTTGGTGACGTTTTGGTGAGGGAGCGCTCCGTGGCCGCAACTTCGTCGACTCCTCAGCTCAGTGGCCCCGCTCAGCACCTCCCCACCGCCAGCCGGATCGGTCCGCCGGCGACCGGCTCCGACCGGATCTCGCCGACCGCCGTTTCGAAGAAATCCCGGAGGGGAAAAAAAAAAGAGGAACCCAAAAGGCCGAGCGGACGGCCCGACGGGCGGACGCCGGGGGGAGGTGGCTGTTCTAACCGGTTCTAACCGGTTAGAACCGGTTAGAAGCGGCCGCTAGAAAACCGGCCACTTGGCACCGGTGCCGTGGAAACGGCGGCCCTGACCCGGGATCGGGATCGGGATTGGGATCGGGATTGGGATTGGGATCGGGATTGGGATTGGGTTCCCACGGCCTCGTGAGGCCGTGCCAATTCGTGCACGCCCGGGTGGTGGTGGTGGTGGTGGTTACGGTCACGGCTGGAACCCACCGGCTCCACCCCCGTGCTACCGCTGGCACACCCCTCTGCCCCACACCCCCCCACCCTACCCACCATGCCCACCCTACCCACCCTACCCACTCTACCCACCATGCCCACCCTACCCACCATGCCCACCCTACCCACCATGCCCACGAACTGCCCCCCCCCCCACCACCACCTCCTACCCGCACCTTGCCGCAGCATCACGGACGAGGCTCCTCTCTTCACATTCCTCGACCTGTCCCTCGTCGCCCCGACGCGGCGTTTGTGTCAACTGCACGCTGACGCGCACACGCACGGACAGACAGACAGACACACACACGGACAGACAGACAGACACACACACGCACGGACAGACAGACACACACACGCACAGACAGACAGACACACACGCACAGACAGACAGACAGACACACAGACAGACACACACACACACGCACGGACAGACAGACAGACGCACGGACAGACAGACACACGCACGGACAGACAGACGCACGCACAGACAGACAGACAGACGCGCCGAGCCGAAGTTCCAACCGAGACTCGCCGCGCATGGCGCTCCGGCTGGCTGGCCAAACTTCCACACACACACACGCACACACACACACACACGCACACACACACACACACACTCACACACACACACACACACACTCACACACACACGCACGCACACACACACACACGTACACACACACAGACACACACACACACACACACGCACACACACACACGCTCGCACGCTCGTTCATCCGTGTGCGCCCGACGTTACGCAAACCCCCCCCCCCGCCCCCCTCGCCCCTCCCCCGGCCCCCCATGAGCCTTCTCCAACCCCCGTCAATCCGTTTAAGGTCCCCCAACCCCCCACTCCACCCCACCCCCCACCTCCCCCCCCCCCCCGATCCAGAATACGTTCGGTAAAATATTTAAACTTTGCCCGGCATCCGCAGGAGACGCTGCCCCACCGCCTTCAGGTGTCATGATCGCTGCTAGGGAGCAGTCGCAAACTCCCCGAGGGCTTCGGCTAGAACTGAGCAACGTGACGTGGACTCCGCTCCCTCCGGATCGCTCGGCGATCGGCGCTCGGCGATCAGCGATCAGAGATCGGCGATCCGGCGATCAGGCGATCGTCGTCGTGAACGATCGCCCTCGCGACTCGCGCTGTGCATGTCGATGCCGCTAATGCGTTCTGTATAATGTTGCCACCACCCCGCCCGCCCGCCCGCCCGCCCGCCCGCCCGGCCCTCCGCTGTCGATTCAACCTTTGGTGGGTGCGCTGTGTGGGTGGGAGAGGGGTTAGGGGTTGCCCGAGGCGGTGAGGGTGGGCAGGCTGCCAAGGCACCGGGGAGGTTGGTGGTGGGGGTGGAGGAGGAGCGTGGGTCGTGGGTCATAGGGAGCGTGGGTCATAGGGGTCGTGGGTCATAGGGGTCGTGGGTCGTAGGGAGCGTGGGTCGTAGGGGTCGTGGGTCGTAGGGAGCGTGGGTCGTAGGGGTCGTGGGTCATAGGGGGCGTGGGTTGTAGGGGTCGTGGGGGTCGTGGGGGTCGTGGGGAGCGTGGGTCATGGGGGTCGTGGGGAGCGTGGGTCGTGGGGGTTGTAGGGAGCATGGGTCGTAGGGAGCGTGGGTCATAAGGAGCGTGGGTCGTGGGGAGCATGGGTCGTGGGGGTCGTGGGGGTCGTGGGGGTCGTGGGGGTCGTGGGGAGCGTGGGTCGCTACGAACCCCGGCGGTCCCCGAGTTCGATTCCCGCTCACGGGCTAGCAACACCGGTGATCAATATCGGAACCGGTCCTGGGCCTCCCCTAGGTCTGCTCAGCCTCAAATGAGCGCGGTGTATAAGCACCGTCATCCTGGGAGACAAAGGCGGCCGGGCGTGGTGCTGGCCACCGACCCCCTCGTGCGCCGTGCCGACCTTCGTAAGTGCTCGCTGACAGCACTTGCCCCAGTAATCTGCTAAAAGGCTGCACGGCTGATCAATTGTCTTTGCGATGTGCCCTGCGAGACTTGGAACATCGAAAGACACTGACGGAGATGGCGATTGTTGGCACTCGCAGTGGCGTTGCCAACAGAGAGGGACACCGCTTCCGCGTACGAAGCCGGATGCGACGAGTGGCCAACGTCGATGTCGCTCGTAGGAGAAGAATGATGACGATGACAATGACGGTGACGGTGACGGTGGCAGTGGTGGCAGTGGTGGCGGTGGTGGTGGCGGTGGTGGTGGTGGTGCGGCAAGGATGAGAAGCAAATCGGGGCGCTATTTAGACATGCACAAGCGCATGTGTACCGGTTAGGGTGGGCAACGGTAAAATGTAAACGTGTGTTGTTTGGGAGCAAATGGAGAACGGCTTCACCACCACCACCACCATCACCACCACCACCATCACGATGACGTAGACGTTGGGAGGTCGGTGAACGCCGCACTTGAGCATATTAGCACAAAGGACGCCACGTGCAGTGGACACACACCGACTGCTATGGCGGGGGGCGGCCGGGGGGCACCCTCGCCTCAGTGATCGTGATGATGATGATGATGTCCCGCCCCTACACTACCGATAGGGGCCACTAGGGGTGGGCGGTGCCCCCGAGGGACGCCATGTTGGCAAGAAGCCGACACTCGTTTTGAGGCCCGGGGTAGTTTAGTCCGCTGTAGATACTTAGCTGCGGTTAATTCCGTAGACCCGCGCCGCTCTTTTTTTGCCCCGCTGCCTGGGTGTGACGCCGGAGACTCGTGACGTTGATCCCATAGGTCCCACCTTATTGTACATTCACCCCGCGAGCTTTCCGTAGAAGCCCACTCCCCTCTTGGGCCCTACGTGTCCAACGCTGCTGTAGGATCCACGGAAAACCCCTCCCCGTGTTTAGCGTTCGACAGATCCACAGCATGGAAGATTTAGGAATAGGTTTTTACCCTTTTAAACTGCCACAAAAACTGACACCTTTATTCAAGGCATCGTGTTTGCAATAACCACAACACAAGCAGTCAAAATGCAAACAAACAAACAAAATGTTTGCATTTTGACTGCTTGTGTTGTGGTCATTGCAAACATGATGCCTTGAATAAAGGTGTCAGTTGTTTTGTGCCAGTTAAAAGGGTAAAACCTATTCCTATATCTTGTTTCTGGCAAAGGAGGTCTCATAATGTTAAAAGCATGGAAGATTGTATCGCCGCACGCCGCTGTCGATTAATCTGGCCCAACATTCGCGTTGCTGTGGACGAACGCCCGCTCAGATATTCTGCCAGGATCACAGCGGAAGATTGATCCACTCACTCACTCACTCACCCACTCACCCACTCACCCACTCACCCGACCGCCCGTCCGACCCACCCACTGACCTACTCAGCCACGCACTCACGCTGGGGGTTGGCACCCATCCGCATTTGTTCTGCCGATCTGGCCGATTGGGTTTCGCCTGCAGCTGCATCGAGCGCCTTGAGGACTGGACGTAGGAAGTCAGAATTTTGTCTCATTGCTGCTAACACTGGCCGTGAGAGTCGCTGTGAAACTCACCGGGTGGGTGGGTGGGTGAGTGGGTGGGTGAGCGATTGAGTGGGTACATGGTTGGGTGGGCGGTTGGGTGAGCGAGCGGGCGGGTGAGCGGGTGGGTAAGTGGGGCCAAACCAGTCGCATTCTTTGCATGCCCGTTAACCGCACGCGATGAGGAAACCCACTTGCCTGTGCCGAGTGGTGGTAAACGTCACCGCGGCGCTTGTGCCAGGCTCTGCGCACACCTGCGGCCAAAAAACAAAACGAAAAAAAAAAACGAAAACCGAGGACTTACCCTGCGATGAACTTCACTGCACGTTCACGCGAGCGCACGATTACCTCGCCTTCCGTCACCGAGGTCGCCTACGATATCTTCGCTTGGACGTCCAAGAGTCGCCGCTCTCAAGAGTCGGCATTGCATTGACGGCATCTCAGCCGCGCCAGCCATCCCCCATCCCCCGTCCCCCATCCCCCAGCCCCCCCCCCCCCCCCCCCCCGCCGTTTCATTTCCCTGCTGTTGTAAATCGCCGGCACTCTGAACTCGCCATTTATTTCACCGTCTGTCGCATGTCGCGTGCCCGTCGGGGAGAGAGCGTTTCACCCTTGGCGGGGACGGTGTCGAGGAGCACGGAAGGCATGGACGGATGGACGGATACATCGACGGATGGACGGACGGATGGACGTACAGACGTACAGACGGACGAATGGGCAGATGGATGGATGGATGGACGGACGGGCAGATGGATGGATGGATGGACGGATGGACGGATGGACGAATGGATGGATGGACGGATGGATGGAAGGATAGATGGACTGATGGACGTACAGATGGACGGACGCATGGGCAGACGGATGGATGGATGGACGAATGGACGGATGGACGGATGGATGGACGGGCAGACGAATGGATGGATGGACGGATGGATGGACGGATAGATGGACTGATGGACGTACAGATGGACGGACGCATGGGCAGACGGATGGATGGACGAATGGACGGATGGATGGACGGGCAGACGAATGGATGGATGGACGGATGGACGGACGGATAGATGGACTGATGGACGTACAGACGGACGGACGCATGGGCAGATGGATGGATGGATGGACGAATGGACGGATGGACGGATGGATGGACGGACAGACGAATGGATGGATGGACGGATGGATGGACGGATAGATGGACTGATGGACGTACAGACGGACGGAGCATGGGCAGATGGATGGATGGATGGACGAATGGACGGATGGATGGACAGACAGACGAATGGATGGATGGACGGATGGATGGAAGGATAGAAGGACTGATGGACGTACAGATGGACGGACGCATGGGCAGATGGATGGATGGACGGATGGATGGATAGACATTAATTAACGGATGGACAGATGGATGAACGGATGGACGGACGGATGGATGGATGGACAGATGGATGGACAGATGGATGAACGGATGGACAGATGGACAGATTAATGGACGGACAGATGAACGTATGGACGCATGGACAGATGGATGGGCATACAGATGGACGGACGGACGCGTGTTTGAGTTAGCAGGCGGCGCCGTGCCCTTGCGGAGGAAGTGACGCTCTGGGAAGGTTGAACGTGGCCCGAAATCTCTCTGCATCGGTGGTTCTCAACCCTTTCTCTATTCTCTTCGGGCTACTGCACGCCACATGTTGCCTGACCCAACGTGGTTGCGAGGAAATGAATGTGCGAATGATGAACGTCAACATTTTAACACATCGTCCATTTTTTCGTGTGGTTATCCCTGAGCTAGCTAAGTAACGGCAAGCGAATGCAAAATTAAAGTCAACGGACGCTCCGCTTACGTGTCACGTAATTTGTTCGCCGCTCGCCTGTTACCCTTGGAAACCGACGTTGCGTTATGATCAGTAGCGTGTAGGGGGGGGGGAGGTCTTTTCTATCGTTCCAGATGACCACGTGGATTTCACTGTCACCAGTAGTCGTTTCATATTGGCGGATTCATGCAACATTATTGCTGTTCGCCAACGACTCTCGTCACGCACGGTATTAATTGCACACGTTTATCAATCGCCTCCGGATGTATGCCCCTTGGTACGTTGCCATGTGAACTCCCCAGGGGTCTGCATGCAACACAGTGCCGGATTAAGCTAGTGCGGGGGCCTGTAGTATATGTTATAAATGGGCCCTGGATAAAAAAAATAAAACGCGTAAATATTAAAGCACACATGGTTAACTTGCACCGTGAAGCAATTGTATTTTTTTCTATTTGCTATACAGGCAGACAGTACGATAAATCGCAAACCTTAAACACCCAGTCGTTCATAAAGCCGAAGGCAGTATAGTGCTGTAGTAATAGAGCGAGTACATACTCGCTAAAACCGGAATCGATAGTCGGCTAAAATTAGTTCTTGCTGTGGTTTTCACACCTGATGATGATGATTGCTTCTGTTACACTCGAAACGTCGTGAGAATTTTTTATTTATTTTGATTTAAAGCTTTCGTGACTGCAGCAATTCATATTCTTAGCTCTTTCGGTAAAGTCACGTTGAAGGGAAACAATAAAATAACAAAATATATATAAAACAATAAAAATTCTCACGACGTTTCGACCATAACACCTGATGATGACCGTTTGCGTTATGGTCGAAACGTCGTGAGAATTTTTATTGTTTTATATATATTTTGTTATTTTATTGTTTCCCCTTCAACGTGACTTTACCGAAAGAGCTAAGAATATGAATTTTTATTATGTTTTATTTTTATTATTTTATTATTGTTTCCCTTCTAACGTGGTGGTGACTTTACCAAAAAAAGCGAGAATATGAATCCCTGCAGTCGCGAAAGCTTTAAATCGAAACGGAAACGATCGATTGAAATAATTTAGCGCGGGACCCTTGAAAGTACTGGGCCCATAGCATGTGTAGCTACTTTAGCCACCAGGATAATCAAACACTGCCCCCAACTTTCCAGTAGCAGCAGCGTCCTTCGTGAACCTCCTTCTATGCCACTTTAGCCACCAGGATAATCCGGCATTGAACCCAACTTCCCAGTACCGGCAGCGTCCTTCGTGAACCTCCTTCTATGCCGCTTTAGCCACCAGGATTATCCGGTATTGCCCCCAAATTCCCAGTAGCGGCAGCTTCCTTCATGAACCTTCTATGCCACTTTAGCCACCAGGATAATCCGGTATTGCCCCCAACTTCCCAGTAGCACCAGCGTCTTTCATGAACCTCCTTCTACGCCACTTTAGCCACCAGGATAATCCGGCATTGAACCCCAACTTTTCAGTAGCGGCAGCGTCCTTCTTGAACCTTCTATGTCACTTTAGCCACCAGGGTTATCAGACACTGCCCACAACTTCCCAGTAACGGCAGCGTCCTTCGGGAACCTCCTTCTATGCCACTTTAGCCACCAGGATAAACCGGCATTGCCCCCAAATTCCCAGGAGCAGCAGCGTCTTTCATGAACCTCCTTCTATGCCACTTTAGCCACCAGGATAATCCGGCACTGCCCCCAACTTCCCAGTAGCACAAAGGTCCTTCATGAACCTCCTTCTATGCCGCTTTAGCCACCAGGATAATCAGACACTGCCCCCAACTTCGCAGTAGCGGCAGCGTCCTTCTTGAACCTTCTATGCCACTTTAGCCACCAGGATAATCCGGCACTGCCCTCAACTTCCCAGTAATGGCAGTGTCCTTCTTGAACCTTCTATGCCACTTTAGCCACCAGGATTATCCGGTATTGCCCCCAACTTCCCAGTAGCACAAGCGTCCTTCATGAACCTCCTTCTATGCCACTTTAGCCACCAGGATAATCAGACACTGCCCCCAAATTCTCAGTAGCGGCAGCGTCCTTCTTGAACCTTCTATGCCACTTTAGCCACCAGGATTATCCGGTATTGCCCCCAACTTCCCAGTAGCACAAGCGTCTTTCATGAACCTCCTTCTATGCCACTTTAGCCACCAGGATAAACCGGCACTGCCCCCAACTTTCCAGTAACGGCAGCGTCCTTCGTGAACCTCCTTCTATGCCACTTTAGCCACCAGGATAATCAGACACTGCCCCCAAATTCCCAGTAGCGGCAGCGTCCTTCATGAACCTCCTTCTATGCCACTTTAGCCATCAGGGTTATCAGACACTGCCCCCAACTTCCCAGTAACGGCAGCGTCCTTCGCGAGCCTTCTATGCCACTTTAGCCACCAGGATTATCCGGCATTGCCCCCCAAATTCCCAGTAGCGGCAGCGTCCTTCTTGAACCTCCTTCTATGCCACTTTAGCCACCAGGATAATCCGGCACACCCCGCCCCCTCCTCCGTAAACCACGTGGCTTCTGTGTGGCCACTCCCACTCGAAGCCCCTCCTCCTGGATGCCGCCACCCACTACGGAAACGGACTCCTCCACGTGCTACCGCTATTTTATCGATTGTCAAGAAAATAATTTGTTGAGGACTGCCCGTTGCTGTTGTTGAGTTTAGTTTGTTGTCTTTCTCTCCCGCAAACGAAACTCCGATTGGCGTGGGTGGCTGCGTATGGTGCGAAATAAGTTCAACATTGGTACAACACCATCACTCCCATCATCATCAACACCATCACTCCCATCATTAATAATACCATCACTCCCATCATCAACACCAACACTCCCATCATGAAGACCATCACTCCCATCATCAACACCATCACTCACATCATCATCATCACCATCACTCACATAATCAACACCAACACTCCCATCATCAACACCATCACTCCCATCATCAACACCATCACTCACATCATCAACAACATCACTCCCATCATCAACAACATCACTCATATCATCAACAACATCACTCACATCATCAACAACATCACTCCCATCATCAACAACATCACTCACATCATCAACAACATCACTCACATCACCAATACCAACACTTCCATCATCAACACCATCACTCCCATCATAAACACCACCAACACTCCCATCATCATCAACATCACTCCCATCATCAACAACACCATCACTCCCATCATCAACACCATCACTCCCATCATCACCAACACCATCACTCCCATCATCAACACCATCACTCCCATCATCATCACCATCACTCCCATCATCAACACCAACACTCCCATCATCAACACCATCACTCCCATCATCAACACCACCAACACTCCCATCATCAATACCATCATTCCCATCATCAACAACACCAACACTCCCATCATCAACACCATCACTCCCATCATCAACAACACCAACACTCCCATCATC